AAATGGGACAAAGCAGCACACTTGCCTACTTTTACTCCTTTCATACCCATACTTATAATTACTCATAACATGCTGTATATATTTCCATATAAATAATGCAGTTTCTTTTGACCCAAAAATAACACAGTTGATGTCACAATGAAAAAAGTTAAAAATATGTTGATATCATGTCAAGTAGCGGGTAAAGTAGTTACAGTACAGTAGTTTTACTGCATTATAAAAATTTTGGAAATATGTACGCTATGTGAAAAGTAGGCAAGTTGCATGCAGCAGGTTCTACTTGGTGTCAGTGGGTATATGTGGCTGTCGGCGGGATCTCACCTGTACGACCCTCTCCTAAACTTGTATCTGATTATGCTGGTCATCTCAACAGAAGCGGCGTATTGTACAGCCCTGTGTTGGACAGTTGGCCACAGTAAGTCTGGATGTGAACTGTTAACTATGCTGCTGTACTCTCTTTGTGGCAAGACAGGCGCCCACCTCTGCTCCGCTGCAATCTAGGGGCCTGGTTAGCTGTTAATGGGGACATTGATGCTCAAAAATCCTCAATGAGGGATGTTTGATTTCCAAACAACAGAAATTTGATTGCATTCACATTTTTACCATCACAATACATGACCCTTCCCCTTTGCCACTCCAGGCCCATAGTTTGCTGTGCCGGTGCCCTTATTTTGTCTTTCCTTTCTTCAACCTTGTTTCCCTTTTCTCTCCTTTGCCTTCCCATTTTCTTGCTTTTCACTCTCATGTTCTATTTCTCTTTTTCCTCCACAACCCCCCTCCTTCCATCATTCTCCTGGTTCTACCCTGTTTCCTTTCTCTGGCCTCCTGGTGACCTTTGCCTCGTGACCTTTTTGCACCGGTGGCCACCTGTGCTTTGTGACTCCCCCTCAGCAGATGTTGCCCATCACCGTGCGAAACATGCCCTCAATAAGCCCTCTAATCTTAAAACGCCTCAAGGTACAATTCTCTCTGCCCCTACTTGCCCTCTACTCTCTGTCCGCCCTGTAGATGCCAACCGCCGTCATCTGTTGCCACAACTTCCCCCGACCCCTTCCACCATCATGCTGTAATTAACCAACTTTTGGCTGCTACTGCTTTTGAATGTTTACTCAAGTGAAAAGGTCTTGTCTTTTAAGGATGCGTGGCAAGTATTCAAACAAAAACAACTTTTATTTCTGGTCTCAGGCAAAGAACCAGGCATTTAAAGTTAATCTAAGGTATAATGTCACAAAAATGTCTATTCTTAGTCTTTACTCTTCAATGGGACATTGCACTCACTTAGTATTTCATGTCAATGACAAGACAGGACTCAGACAAGCCTAAAATTAGTTATTAAAAATGAAGGCAGCAAAGGAAGATGATTTAAAGTTCTTGGTTTTAGCTCCAAAATGCTAAATGTCTTATTCCTTCCTCATATTTTAAACTCCATACGCCACAGTTTGTAACTTTAGCTTCCTGTTTCATTGGCTAAGTAGCTCTCTGTGTGGATAATATATAAAACTGGTGTTAATGCCTCTCTAACCAAATGGTCATAATCTGCAGATAGGTCAGGGAAGTTGGACTAATACATTGTGCAAACACTATGAACCTTCTGATATAATTGTATGTTCATCCTCCATTATTCTCAAATTAGGTTTGGTAAAATACAACCAAAACTTCTACACCCCTGTGCAATTTCACTAAAAAAATTTTTTTATTTTATTTTATTTTGATACTTGTATAATCTTATAAGACTTATATTATTTCAAGATCTGTATGGTATTGAATTTAATATATTTTTAAAAGACCGGTGTAAAGGGTTTAGTACTAGTGAGGGGTGAGGTTGCAACCAACTGAAACTATGTGTGTAGGAGAACCCATTGTAAGGTGACATTTATAAATTGTTTCCTTCAGTACCGTCTGAAATGCTAAAGTGGGGTTTGTTTGCTCTGGGCTACTGTAGATACATGGTAGCCCATACATAGACCATGTTGGCTTCTGTGGAAGAGCCTATATGAGAGTAAAAGAGTTCATTCTTAGGTAAGGAAAACATCACAACTCTCAGTTTTAGGTGATTATTTACTTATCTAAACTAAACTAAAATCCAATTTTGAATATTCCATTAAAATTATATTCATAGATCCCTCAAATCCAACTGGTCCTTTAAAAATAAATACCAGATGAAAAAATATTGGTTCCCAAGAAAAACCTCAGTGTAACAAGATCATAAAAGAATTGGTGTGCACCACAGTTGTGTCAATTTAGGCCTGTGTTGTGTCTCCATGTCTCCACATGGTGAGGAACTCTCTGCAGTGAGAATTCAGATTGTGAGCATCAGTTATTAGGAGGTGAATGATGTAAGGGAAGAGCCAAACAACAAAACTTAACTCTGCATTCATAATTTTCACAAAATAAGTGAGTACTTCTGACTTGGCACAAGGATTGTCTGTCGAAATGTGAGTTTCTGTGACTGATGAGTCAATATGGAAGACATATAATGATGTCAACTTTGAGGATGGCGTCCAGGGGAAAACCATTAATCACAAAACTGCAAGATTCAAATTTGTCCTAGAACAGGAAGAGAAGTCTGATGGATGTTGGCAGCGCGTTCTTTGGTCCAATTAAATCACAATGAATTTGTTTGAATCAGATGAGGTCCAGCAAGTTTTGCTGGGACCTGGGCAGGACTTCCACAGTGACTGCATAGTGCTGACCAGGAAACATGAAGAGGGGGGGTGCTTTTGTGGGGCAGCATGAGTACGGGATGTGGCGTTTATAGATGGGGTAGGTTTGTTTTATCAATTACTGAATTAAAAGATGACTCCCAGACTCAAGGACCTTGGCAGGAGAGGGATTTTCCAACATGACAATGATCCAAAACAAACTGCTACTATGTTCACCAACTTAAATCAAAGAGAAAACCCTTGTTTTGAATATTTAAAGTAAAAGGTAGAGCCAAGAATAATGGCAGAACATCTCGACGGAGAAGTACAACACTGGGATCATCTATGCCCAGGAGGATCCAATCTGTCATCACAGATAATGCTAATAATTCAAAATATAATCTCAGGGTGTACTGACCTTTGTTGTAGTCAGTTCTGTAGTATGGATCTTTCATCATAATTTAATTTAGATTTTGGGCTTTGGCTACAAACCAGTAAAATTGTATTAAGTAAATAGCATTTGTAATTTCTTAACATTATAATGATATTTACCAGGGGTGTACTCAATTTTTGATGTGTACTGAATGACCTCTAAGGGAAGCCTAACATGTCCAGAGACATAAATCATATCTGGACATTATGCACCACAGTATAGGGGAGGAAAGATAAAATATGGAGCCAATGTAGACGGATATGTTCTACATTATATGAGAATAGAAGCTTGGCAACGTATTCTCTTCCTGAGCTGCTGTACGTGTGTGTTCTCCTTCAGTTACGAAGTGATTGCTGAGTGACTGAAGTAAGCCTTTGCACTTGGTGTTCTGGTCTAAGCTGGACCACATGTGAAAATAAATCACGCAATATACAGCACCATACATTCAATCTTGTGCCAAACTCATTGCCCCATAAGATAAGGGATACTTTCATACAGAAAAAATATGAGACCAGTTGCAATCAGGAAATTGGATTTTATATGTTGCAAAAGGAGGATGAACCACAAAAGATGTTTCAGGATGTGTAGCAGCCTGACAGATTTATTGGAGTCAGTGAGGTGTGTTTATTCTTTTCATATCCTGTGCTCATTTAAAATGTCCTTTATTTGATTTTGTTTAGTCTCTGGTTTTGGTTTGAGATAATTCCAAAGGTTCTCACTGTCAGTGAAGACTCCTCAGAATAACCACACACAAATGAGCTGCCTACGACCAATAAACCACAGGAAATATCAATGTCTCAATCAAACCGATCTCTTTTAAATATAGACAGTAAAAACTTTCTCTTGTGATTTAATTATAACTTAGGTTTTTTACCCAAGCTAACCGAAACTAGGATAAGCTCAAGTAACCTTTAGCACAAGGTCTTAGAAAAATGAGAGCTCCAGGATCATGTCTAAAAGAAAAAACAAGGTTTATGTCACTTATTTCCTGTGTGACGCCATGAATCACATCAAAATATTCTAAACTAAAGGTACACTTAGTTTTCTCTGGAGTTTTTCAACTCCAGTGGTCTTCACCAAATATAACCTGCTCAGGTGTCATCATGGGACCTAAAGTCCCAAACTTTGTAACATAATGGGAGAAACTACAAACCCCATCTGTGTTTAAACCCTGTTATGATCCATCGGCCATCACCATTTTGTAAGCCCTTACAGCAAGGCATCAAAGTCAGTAAAAGGCTCCCATAACCGCAGCCATTCTTCAATGTATGACTGAATTTCCGTACTTACAGTCAAATCATTTCCAGTCTGGGACCAGCTTTGGTCTCATAATTAAAGACACCTAATGTCTTTTTCTGGTGTCCTCTCACCCAGGGTATTTGCTAAGACCCTGGCACAAGGCTCCTTGATCATATCCAGACACCTGAACAAGTTACATTTCATGAAGTCCATAGAATATGTTAAAAGCCCCACAGAAGCTAATAAGAGAACCTTGAGATTACAAAATCATCTCATAGAGAAAAGTCAAGTACCAAGATCAACAGAGAATGTCGGTGCTCAAGCATTAAACCACTTGCCTCGCTCCCCATCTAACTATTCCTCTTTGCAACTCTGCCCCTGCTGCATTTATTTGGAATGTAGTGTGTTGTTGTTGTGTTGGCATGGCCAGTGTGGTAAGGCTCTATCCAACATGGCAGGTTGTAACTCCCGGTCTCTCAGCAGGGCGAGCCTGGAGCGCAGGGACCCCCAGGACCTCCAGGACCCCCTGGACCTCCAGGCTTGATTGGAGCTAGTGGCACACCGGTGAGTCCCACTACTTATATGCCTGTTAATTTGCAAACTTACAAAACATCTCAGCTTTTTGCATCAATAGTAATTTAATGTGTTAGTTCACCTTGAAGCTGTTGTGGCAGATGGTTTGTGATAGAACAATCTGGGAGGGCTTTGTTGGAAACTGTCACTTTGCAGGTCACCGTCTGTCATGTTTAAAGAAGAAGTTCTGATGTAACTGATGCAATAGAAGCATCTCTGCTTAACTTTGTTGAAGCTGCCATTGTTGTGAAAGAATGTTTCTTGCTGTCACACCCAATACAAGGCTGGTTCAAATCACTGAGGTTCAGCAAAGAGCAAATAGCTTGGAGCCTGAAAAGCAACTGAATTTCTTGCTTGAAATTCTCAATTGGGTGCCCAGGACTGAAATGCAACCACAGTAAATGATACTATTTTATTTTTGAATACTGTTTCATAAGAATGGTTTGCAGTCACACCAGGGGCAAAACAAGAAATGTCTCTCACCCTGATTGGGTGTCCACAGCTCACTTTTGCCCCAAGCTGGGCTGCACAAAGAAAGAATTATTGGTCACTTGATTTCAGTGATTGAGTTCAATCAACGTTGAACCAATATGTGCTGTTCAAAGTAATCCCTCACACACCCAACTTTATAATCCTGCATAAATCCAATCTTTCACAATTTAAACTTCCTTTGTATGTGATTTGAACACAGCATTTCTGGACAGGGACCTACAGCTTTGACATGCTGTTAATGACTCAGCTATTAAACAGCTGACTTTGATTCCATGTCTCCACCTAAGAACAGAAACCGTTTCACTTTGTCAACCATGGGAGATGTTCATTTTATAAAAGGAAAAGGTGCTTCCATTTCCTATTGTGCTAGTTTAAAGTCATTACCTTAGTAAATATTTTCAGGCTCTTAATTTCCTCAAAATAGTTGCAAATTTAAACTGTGGAACTGGTATCACAGTTAGTTTTGTAGAATACATTTTAAGAATTGTTGCTTTTGTCATACAGGGTAAACCAGGTGAGCCAGGCAAACCAGGAAAGGACCCAAGGGTAAGTCTGGTTCAGTGACCTTAATTTTTCCAGAACATTCTCATCAGGGAAAGTTTGTTTGTATGACATTTATCTTATATCTCTGTTCTTTCTGCAGCTCTTACCAGGACTGAAGGTAAACAGATTTGTCATCTTGTCCAAACTGTGAAATTGCAGTTCTAAAAAACTACAGTAGAATCACTGTGCCTTCTCAAGATGACTGCAGAATCACTACACACACACACTTACACAAACACACACACACTGGGGCCCAAATAAAACATGCCACAAGAAACAGGGCTCAAGTCAACATCTTTTCACTTGGTCTCCATGCAGCTTCTGTGAAATTTAGACCACCATCATGCACAACAGAAACAACGCACCGTAATCTCTGTTTTCTTTGGATAAGATGAATAGATCTTCACTTGATACATCAACTGTCACAGATAATTTAAAAAGAGCAATGTAGATCAGGAGTTTAGAACTGAACCTCAGTTGTTCTCACCATAATAAAGCATGAACAGTAAAAGCTGAACTGGGTTGCAGAACAAGGTGGAAAACATGACATTGCAAACCACAAATCAAGCCTAAGCCAGAATTTCTGTATCTACCTGTGTCCCCATTGTTTACCTGTCAATTTGTCACACTGGCTGGATATGTACTTATGTTTACACTGTGTTTTATCCATCCAGGGTGAGCCAGGTGTCCCAGGACATAAGGTAAACTGCCTTATGCATTTCACCTTTGAAAAACAATACACAGTAGCTTGGATTTTGATGGATTGAGTAGAAAATATTTATTCCAGTACACTATCTATTGTACACATTGTAATGATGGACCTTCATGTATCATGTGCTTTCATGTACCTGTGGGGGGTTGATTATTTCTCATTGCTTTGTATGGTCTTGAATACACTCACTGAGCACTTTATTAGGGACACCTGTAGACCTGCTTGTTCATGCAATTTTCCAATCAGCCAGTAATGTGGCAGCAGTGCAGTGTATAAATGCCTGCAGATATTGTTCGGTAGCTGGTTGGAACCTCAGGAAAAGCTATGGTAACTTAGATAACTAATCTTAACAACTGTGGTGAATAGAAAAGCATCAGCATGAACTAGAAAGGCACTGAATAGAAAGCCAGCCTCTGCCACAATGAGTTCAGTAAACGTCAGTAAGCTCCACAGTCACCAGACGTGAATCCAGTAGAACATTTGTGATGAGTTGGATTGGCAACATGAATGTACAACTGACAAATCAGCAATATTAGTATGATGTTCCTGATAAAAGTGCTCAGTGAATGACTCAAAAGATGGGTTTAAAACAATATTTTGCCTTTACCTGTGTTGTGCTCACTCACAAGAATTATGTCCACTTCTTGTGAATCAGTCTTTTGTGTCCCTCTCTCCACAGGGTGATCGAGGCGATGTGGGCCCATCAGGTCCTGAAGGCCATAAGGTATTTCACTTGCTACCTGTTTTACAACTTATATGTTTTACTGTGGTGTTAGGCTATATTCAACTTAGTAGCTGTGTAGGTTTTCTGTTTCTGTTTAGTCCTGGGAACAAACCTGTTATTGTGCTATTAAGTGGTACCAAAAGGTATTATATAAAGCTTTGGGGGTTGTTCAGAACTGATATCATAGAAATAGAGACCCTGACCTCACAAAATGATGCAGGTAGCATCTGCTGCTACATTTATGGTTTTGACATTTAATCAATGGAAAGTGTTTGGTGGATTATTGCACATTATTCTCAGGCATGGACACAGTGTGTACTCACACACACACACTGTCACAAAACAAAAGCATGCACATGCTCTGTGTGATGACAGCGATATAACCTTGGCTTTGAAGTTGTGTATTGGGGTCAAAGTGGGCTCTGCCCGCTACCCTCTCCACGTGCTTGTCCTTCTCCACCTTTCCATGGCTTAGCAGAGTGTCTCTAGAGAACACACACGGACACACACACACATATGCACATGTACAGAGCAACTGTTCAACTCTAATCCAAGCCATTATATGGCATTACTAGAGTTGAGAATGTTTGAGGGTTTTATAGATGACAATAGGAAGGCTGCCAAAATTACATAGAGGAGAAATAAACTTTAAAATTATAAAAAGAGGCTACTGTGTCTGTTGCAGGCCAGGCATGAGGTGTCATAGTTAGGTAGTCAACTCACGTTGAAGGAATGAAGACCAAGCTCTAACTTCAATTGAGTAGGAGTGAAATCGTAGAAGAAAGGAAGGAGCGTAAATGCTGTGAAGAGTGTTTAGGGCAAAAATCATAGTCTGACATATCATCACCTCATGAAGTTGCTATGGATAACATAATAGAGACATCGAGCAGACACAGAGCCTCATGAGCATCCGTTTGGAGTTGTGTTTCTGGCCAAGTGAAATATTGACTTTCCTGTCAGCTTGCTATTAGTTGCTGGTTCTTCAGCTGCTAGATGCATCCGCTACATGCACCAGCTCCTCAAAAAAAAAAACGTGTGCTGTTCGAACCGAAATATTACCACACTGACTGTGTGGGGAACACTATGTTACTGATCTGGCCAATGAGATCCAGTGATCTGGTGATCCTCTGCAGTCACACTACTATTTTTACTATGTTTTTAATTTATTGTTCGTGTTAAAAAAATATATATATATATATTATTGGACCTTTGAGGAATCAATCTGTGATTTTGCTTTAATGCTAAATAGAGCCTTCAAATTGAATAATTTGAAAACTGTGTCATTCATTATGTATAGAATATGAATAAGTTATCATGCTCACTACCTCTCTACTAAATTCCATATAGAGTAAAGCTTTCCAGTGAGGTGGATATGGTGCTGCTGCAGCTACGACACAGCCACAGTTTACATTATATCAACAGCATGGCTCTTTGTGAAAGTAATTTAGCCTGAAACCAAAATATAAACTCAGATTGAGTGAACTGTAAAGGTCACAGTGAAAACACAGTGTCCCTCTTAAGTTTATACCGAGCTTTTCAGGGGCTTCGACTGCTTGAAGTACCCTTTTGCCGTTAGCTTCTGTGCAGATTATTGCCTTGTAAACTTCAACCATCCTTCTGTTTGTTGTTTGAAATCAAACTGGTCTCCTGTCTCTGTTGTCTGCCATGAGCTTTATGAGGCCGTGATGCTACTGAGTTGAAGGTCACCGAGAGGACAGAGAAGAGGGCCTCAAAGGCACTGTGGTCGAACTAGAGGTTCTTCAAAAGAGATTAGATAACTTGGATGAAATGCAAACTGCTCCTCCAGCTTTCACTTCCAATGTTTGGACTAAGGCCAGATAATACCACTGTTTTCCCAATTCAGTTAGATTTTGATTTACACCGCCCTTCGTTTATTCATTTTCATTAAATTCATTTAAGTCAGGAAGATGAGCCTCTTCTATAACACTGTTATTTACTTAAATATAAAGTGATGTGAAGTGCATATTATTGGTTAACCTGTAAACAAATTATTACACTGTAAAGTGTGGATTTCATTCCCTTGGCAAATTACATATTCATTATTGAGCTTGTGAGAAACTAAATGCAACACTTAAACATGGATTGTCAATAGCAGATGCTTTGACAAACTAAACCAATCTGCTTTAATGATCACTTAGGCCACAGACAGTCTGCTTAATTCACCGGAACTGTTGTGTTGACATCACATCAGCCTGATATCGCTGACATCTGTTAGCAATAGCATAATCTGGGAGGGACAGACTGACTAAAGTAAAATGTTCGACTTCCACAGCCTCACATCTAAAAGAAATAGTTCCTGTAAATCAAAAAGAAAACAAAAAACTGAGTGCTTAATGTGCTAAATCTATTTCAGTCTGTCCCAGATAAAATTATCGTACGTTTACTGAACTACTATAACTAAAGGTGGCTCTTAAGAAGATTTTTTTCAATAATAATACATTTCCTCAAAAACGTTGCAATAGATTGAGTTCTATGTTCTACACCACTGCTTACACAGCAAAGATGTATTTCTATTTTACAGAGAAAAGCAGAAACTACACAAATCAATCATGTCAAGTATTTTTTTGCACTTCATTACCCTCACCTGTCAGATCAGCCAAATAATACTGCTGTTGCTTTTTTATGCAGCCAAACTCTGGACACAGTAATGTAATGGATATAGAGGAACTTGTACTCCATCTAGTGGACTGCTGTAACTGTTGTAAGTATTTATTTTTTAATTACAGTATTTGCTTTGTTTTACAGGGAGTTAAAGGTGACCAGGGAATTGAGGTAAGATTTTAAAATTTCTTTTGTGTCACAATATAGAAGGAATAGCTGAAGCTTGCAACCTGTTTTCTGTTTTGTTCAGAGCCATAGTCAAAACCTTAGAAGTGCTGATGTTCTGAGTCCTACCTGCTCTCCTTAGGTCAGCAGTCTATTGTGGGCAGTTATATCTCCAGACAGTTTTCAGCTTGTCACAGTGGAGTATATCTTATCTAATTGGATTTAAATTATATATTTCACTTAAAGCTTGTGCTAGTGAAAGAGGGTTAATATGAGTCATCCTTATTTTTTCATCTGGATGAGGAATCCTCTCTCTGCTGGCTACCGTTAAGTTTTTTCCAAGGCAACCATTTGTTGCTTTGATCTAGGGACCAACATGATAGAAGGCCCCTGATGTCACCTCTAGAGATTTACATCTCCTCCTGTCAGCTCCATGTCAAGAGGGAGCATTCCTTTCCGCCCTGAAACTTTGCTCATCTCTGATTTTGTCCCGGTTGAAAGCGCGTGTCTGCTTTTACTGCCCCGCTGCTTCTCTGAGCGGCTTTTCTCATACACTCTATAGGGAGATGAAGGAAAGAGAGGTTTCCCAGGAGAGAGGGGCGAGAAGGTAGAGTGACAGGCAAGCATGGTGTTGTGTGCGTGTGTGTGTCTGTGTGTGTGCGCGCGTGTGTGTGGCATGTTGAGGTTTATTTATGCATGCTGAGATCACAGATGTTGTTGCTGGAGTCTGGATGAGTGAAACTTGGTTGAAATTTATCTCGTAGTGAAATGCACTGTCAGTTGAAGAACTGATGTCTGTTTTTTGAACACAAACAACCTGGAAACCTTCATGCATCACGTCATAAATACATTTTTACCACAGATTTAGTATTTAGTTGCGCTGTGTGGACATTGCCCAGCAAGAATCCATACTTTTTTGTCATTATGGTTTATGTGGCCTATTTAGCTCTTTCTTCTAATTTAGTTCTAATTTCTAATTTCATTCTCTGGTGCTCTCCAGCACCTCTAGGTGTCAGGTGACCTACACCTAGAGCAGCTCCACTTGTTCATGGGAGCATGGCAGTAGCAGTCTCAGCCAATATGTGCAGAATGTGTTTTCTCCATTAAGCCACACAGATGGGGGGAAGGGTAAGAAAAAGTCAAAAGCGGAAAAAAACTTCAAGGAAAGTGCATACTTGTTGGTATCTACAGGAAATAGCGATCTGGAACTTGCCCTTATTGTAGTAATAAAGACAAAGTTATTTTGCAGGCTGCTCTCTTATTGTTTGGGTATGGCTGCTTGAGGAGTTGAGGCTCCAATCAACCCAGGGGAAATCTGTTCTATAAATAATCTCATAGAGCTGGCTGCTGGTACCTTGTGAGAGAAGTAAAGTGGGCCAGGTTGAATTTTTGTGGTGCACACAAGGGCCATTAACATCTGCATGGTGCAGACCATGAATAATGACTTTTCTGTGCCCAGTAGACAACAGGCCTACTTCTAGACATGAAGGACACAGACACAACTACTACCTCAGAGACTTGACTGTGTCAAAATACTCTTCTTTTAGATTGAACTAATAAGCTCTATCTTTGAAAACAGCTTAATGGTCTTGTGTCCTTGATGATGTCGTGGATTTCGATTCACCACTCAGGACAAAGGAGAGTGTGTGACAGCAGTTGCACTTATTAGACTCGATGAAAAAGGTATCTCAGCATTTTTTCCTTTGCAAATGAGAGTCAATGAGGTATCCAACGAGAGGAAATATTAGTGGAGGGGAAAACAGCAATTAAGTTTTCAAGTCGCCCACCTTGTTCTGTTATTCTTCAGTGGTCGTATGTCTTTATAAAACTCTTCTTGTTGTGGCTTTCTATGAGCAGAATTTAACAAAGCTGTTCTTGAATGAATCTTTAATTTTCCATTGCTGTGTACAGAAATTATGAAAAAGACAAAAGTTGAGAATTCCAAATCTCTTGCACTTATGACACACATTTGTTCTGTCTAATTAGCTCCGATTGCTTCAAACTGACCCTCAAAACGTTTCCTTTGAGGTACAAATACAGTTGTGACATGGCCTCAGTAAAGAGATTAGCATAGTGATAAATCATGAAATGGCATGCCGGTATCACAGGGCCATGTGGACCTGTGCCTGCTGTGTGCCTCAGAAAGAGAGAGCTGTTAAAATGGAAACATGGCAGAATGCACGACAAATATTTGAGGCTACCAGGGCGAGCTGATCGGAGCAGTCATATATCAAAGGGAGATGCTGTTTCCTGTTTGGCAGCTGGTTGTTGGGAAGCGTCTCTAATGAACCCTCCTGTGTGCTTCGAGTCATCATCACTCATGAGCGCAGCAGGGATAATCAAGCTCCAGTTATGCTTTCATCTGACCACAAACTCATGTACACTACTGGGCACACAGTCGTTTCCATCTCCACCTTTCAACTGACACATGAATGTGAAAAGTACAATCACACACCTCTGAATTGCTCTCCCATGTCCCAGCAGGGCCTCACTGTGCTGGTGAGCAGTATGTACTTCTCCCCCAGTCATGATGATATTTTACCTCAGTTTACAATCACGCAATCAGTCAACCAATTAAAAATGAAGGTGAAATCAAATCTGGTTTCCATTAGAGGGAGGCCACCAAAGCAACTCATCTCGATGTCCTCTGATGTGGAGTAGTGTTCCATTTGGCGTGGCTGGATCCTAGTTGTTGACATTGTGGATGTCAGAATCTTGACCAAAAGGCTTTGACACTGGGTGGGAAAGTGCACAGTGCTCTCTCTAGTGTAGGACTTTTTCTGTGTTGCTTGGTTTCTATGAGTCTGATACTGCTGTTATTTCCTGTGGTGTACTTCAGGGTTCTATCTTGAGTCCTATACTATTTGCTTTTTATATGCTCTCCTTAGGTCACATTATTAGTAATTTCAGAGATATACAATGTCATTTATATACTGATGTTATTCAGCTATATGTCTCATTTAAGCATGATAACACAGACAAACTCTGTTTTGCACAACTGCTTGATTGCCATTATGGATTGTAAAGTGTTGGGTCTGCTTCTCAATCTAATTTAGAAAGTGTGTGAGTAATCTTTGATCAGGCTATGCATTATGCTATTTCTCCATTAAATTGTTGACCCATGTTTTTATCCCACAAAAAAATCACAAAGCTCAGGGCTGTTTTTGCAGCTTTTCTACTTTGAAAGGTGTCGTAACTAAATATTTGTTTTGATTATTATTAATTCATAATCAAGCCTATTTATAATTTATGGATTTACTACGAGACATGAAGAACTGACACTGTCTATCTTGATCATGTTAGGTTACATTCTGCTCCCGACAAACAGCCACAACCAGGATATAGACAAAAACAGGACAACAACTTCAAGCGTCTTTGGTAACAGTGTTGCTCTGCTCTCTGGTGGCCCAAAAGATGTGCAACACATTCTCAAAGACTTGATCCCCCCAGGAACACAAAAAAAAAGAATAGAATAAAAACATTTCAACTCTACTCAACAGTCCTCACACACTTTAGACAAAGCTTTCAATATAACTTAAATGAGGCATGTACAATACATGTAAGGTATTCATAGTTTAATGCTCTTATATAAGTCTTTATGTGTTCAACTGTAGGAGCTTGTTGAAATAATTCTTGTAACAGTGCATGTGACTATGCAGAGATTTTTTTTACATGTGACACATTGGCAGTCTTGTTAGGCCCTGACTACAAATATGGAGCAAACATATTAAAGCATCAGACAAGCAGGAATGTAGCAACTGCCTCTACCAAGCAGCTACAGTATGTGTGTGCTTGTGTGGTCACAGCTGCGACTGTTCATCAACTTTAAATCATCTACTCATTAATCTGAAAAGAGGAGCAAGAACACAGATGATCTACATGAGTGTGTTTTCCTTTCTATTTTTAACAACCAATTTCAGAGGGTTCATTGTGCGGTGGCTGGCACATGACAGATGTTAATCAGTCACAGTTTTTCAATTCACTTTAGAATTTTACATGGATGTGGATTCTAAGACAATATAGCCCTGCCCCCCTTCAGGCAACTAGAAAAAGACACTTTTTCTAGTTGCTTTGCAGTTTTGCACTTTGCATGTACTTGAAACAGGAACAAGTCAGAGATGCATGTCTCTGATGTTATTTCATGTGACTTTGCAGTTATTTTTGAAACTCTTTGCAGTTTGTGAGTCTTTGAGTGGTCATTATGTTGTTATGGTCATAGTGATGCTATCTGTAGTCTACTCTTTATAGTCTTGGTTTTTTTAGGTTCATAAAGAAATATTGGAGCTCAGGTGCAGGGCCTTGTCCTGTGTTTGGTGTGCTTATTCAGTAAACAACCCAAGGATTCACATGGATTAAGTTCTTTCTTGTGCATGTATTCTTGAGAAATCTTTCTTTTTTTCCTGATGTACCATTTTTGACATTTATGGCATCATTTCCAACTCCATTGTAGGGAGAACCAGGTTTCCCAGGCAGTCCTGGGTTAAAGGTAATGTTGCACCTGAGCAGTGTGTGTGTGACATTATTGTATACTCAGTCAGATCGGAGGATCATAAATGTCTTTCTTCCACTGCAAAGGGTCAGGCTGGCATCCCTGGTACCCCTGGCATCCCTGGCAAGAGGGGCTACAGGGTAGGCGTGGAATGGAATGTTCATCCACTGTCTGTGCTTCTGTCAGTCATCCCACTAATTTGATATTTATCACATCCCTGTTTTGTGTTTTTGAATGTCAAAGACTTTTTGTTCATCCTTTCTGTGCTGTTAGTTCTGCTTGGTTCTGTGTTTGGTCAATAGATGGTACAATCAGCCACCATTAGTGATTGGTGTAGAACTGGACTAGCTATTCTTATCATATAATATTATTTGTCCTTCATTTCTCACAACACCCTGACATGCACTAACTCATTCTGGATCAAGGAGGAATGGGTGGTTGGAATCCATTCTTGAATAAGCTGTGATCTATGGGAATGCACAGAAATGCTGTTTGATGAATAATCTGAACTCAAGTTCACATGCAAGCTTACTACAGATTTGCTTAGGTGGCCATGAGATATCATTAATCATCACCATCAATTGTTCATGGTGAGGACTTGAAGTGGGGGGCACTCTAGGCCAATAAGTATATGGAATGATGATCCAACCTTGACTATAGACTAGACAGAAATTGTGAACTCACCAGGGACCACAAGAAGCATCCTGGTGGTTCTCCCTGATGACTTCCAGAGCAGCCAGCCTAAGAGTTCTCCTGGTGCTCCCTGACGACAGGACCCTGACTGAGGGACAGACTACAGTGATAGTGTTTGACACCATCATGACATCATCCTGCAACACCAGCTCTGTGTGACCTCCCGACCTTAACTCCCTCACAGTGTCGCACTGGAGGTCAAAGGTCATTGATGATGAGTCAGATGGTGGCACGAATAGAGAAGCTAGCAAGAGACTGACATATTGACACCCAGAGAACAACTTTGAACAGAGATTTGAACAAATGTGAGATATCATCACCTTCAATATAACAATACAATACAAGCAAGACTACATACCTAGGTTACATGATACTAACTATGCTATCTCCACGCCAACTAAGCAAACTTAATTATTTCAAGAAACTTGAATGAAAGCTAGTGAGTGGACATTGGGCTGAGAAGAATTTAATCAAACTGCTATTTCCAAGGTATAAGTAATTTTTTGTGCTTTATACTTTATCCTGTCTGCTGTTTGATGCAGATTCTCATCACATCAAGCAGCAGTGAAGATTACATGTTGCTTCAATGCATTGTGTGAACCACTTAACAATTTATGTATTAGAAGTGATTTTATGCTTGGTTTCAAATTGCTCTTTTTTTGTTTTGTTTCATCATATGATACCTATTCTAGTGTCACAGTTCAGTATAGTACCATAACAATATTTATCAGTCAAACCCTTTTATTTATTATTCTTGTCTGGTTAATATTAATAATAAATATTTCTCTTTTTAGTTTTGACTTTGCTCAGACTTTGTTTTGTATGTCTGACAGGGTGAGAAGGGAGAGCCAAGCATTGCAGCCCAAGGTATTAAAGGAGAACCAGGTTTCCCGGGGCTGCCAGGCCTAATGGGAACCAAGGTAAATTATTTGAATACTGGACAGATACTTGCACATACACCAGTGTCTGCATTATATATCACTGCATGACATTTTTCTTACAGGGTGAAAAGGGTGATACGGGAGTCGAGGTAAGCCGAGAGATCATAGGAAGACTATTTCCAAATACTAGCACAAGTTGAGAATATTTGTGGAGAATCTAAGTCTCATACTTCCATTTAACCTCTAGGGTAAAGCAGGTCCTGAAGGCCCAGCTGGACCAAGAGTAAGTCATGGTTAACTCACTAATGTCAACATATAGCAGATATTGACGATAGTAGACACAATTTCATTGTCTTCTATATGATCTGTTTTGTTTGTTTTTCACCGAATAGGGTCCTCCAGGTCCAACTGGAGAGCCAGGAAAGGCTGAAATTCAGAATAATGAAAATGTATGTCACTCATCTTAAGCTGTTGTTTTTTTTTGTCAGAGGTAATAAAACTAAAGAATGAAGTAAAATATTTTTAACATTTTAATATTCCCCCACAGGATATTCGCAACATACCTTTGATGGTAAGTACTGTCTAGTGTTTATTAAAACATGTGCAAGCACAGTACTTCAAATCGTTTTAATGACGTGATCTTTGCTCTTAATAGGGTCCTCCTGGATTACCTGGACCTCCAGGGTCCCCTGGCATCCCAGGTGTCAAGGTAGAGTCAGTTAAGAGTGGCATTTGGTATTTGATGTTCTCACATATTGTCATTATATTGTCATTATGTGTATATATATATATATATATAAAGCTCAGACTTTTCATGTCAGTTGTGGGCCTTTAGACTTCTATTTTCTTTAGATAAAACACTTCTGTATCATTATAAGGCCTGGCTGAGCTCATATTGCACTTTAGTGGTATTTGGGGGTTAGGGTTATATTAATATATATATATCTATATATTTATATCTATAAATATAGCTATATATATATATATCTCTATATATATAAGAAGTCAGTCTTACAACACAGCTGGTGGTGCAAACACAGGGCTCCAGCAAAAGCATGTTCATCGGGATCCTTGTGCACTTTTTATCGCAACTATATACCTCAGCATCTGGTGGAGCTCTGTATTGGCCTGGAGGATAACTTCAACACAACCCTATTTCTACTGTTTACCAGTCCGTGCAACAAAAGATAAAATAATTGATGCCATGAACACTTTCCAGAGGGGCCTGAGATCATTGAAAACCACTGTGCAGTGTTTTTTGCATCTCAAACCGGACATCATGTCTCGAAATGTCATATTACTGGAAACCAATGGATATACAGTGTATCAGGGGTACCTGTTTGTCAGCCATGGATTCTAGTTTGTAATCAAGCCTCGTTGTGTTGTCAGGGTGATGTTGGTCTTCCAGGTCCACCAGGACTGGACGGCGAGAAGGTAATACTTTGTTAACAGTAAGCTACATATTTTAGCCAGACAGTTGAATTGTACAATGAATGTATATTGTGATGGAAAACTGTTAAAAATGTGATTTCAAATGTGTGTGACCTTTTTTATTTTCAGGGACCCAGAGGGAAGCCTGGAGAGACTGGTCCTTCAGGCCCAGCTGGTCCTCTAGGTCTCAGAGGCGAGGATGGTGTCATGGGCTTCCCGGGACCCAAGGGAGACATGGGTCCATCTGGATCACCTGTGAGTCACTGTTAACCACACACCACACCACATCACTGCCTGGGATTCCCTGGTCAAAGGCAGAGTCCCACATCTGTCATTATTGAGAGGGAGGGCCTTGGTTTTCATCTGTCCTCTTATTATCTAATTATAGAGTGACTGGCTTGGAGAGTTAAACTTTAATTCACTGTGGCATGGATCCCAAATGTGCCCCCATATAAAGAGCAATGCTATTAGTGGTGTGGTGTTACTCTCAGAGCCCACATGTACATACAAATATGTGTGTATGTTAGAGAGTTAGCAAAGGGACACACATTTTGCTCTTGCTCACTATTTTTCTTGTTTTCATTTGACGCAGGACGATAGCATTTAGTTTCAACTCAATTGTTCAAATGTAATTTGATCGAACACTGAATTTGGGAATACCTTTTTTTATACCAGAATTAAATTTAATTCTCTGAAATAATGAGCTTGAAATCTCCCATAAATATGGTCCCATCATGCACTTGGATTGTGCAGTCCCTATATAATCTCTCGATATGATTCACCAAAAAGTTTTATCAACCCTTCTATTCACTGTTTTCGGGAATGTACATCAGGAATTGCTTTGCGAATGATCAATTTGCTAGTTGCTGTGAAGGGTAGGTGCTGGGTAAAATCTGGTGGTTGGATGCTTTTGGGGTTTTTGTACATGTGGAAAACAGTAAACTGTGTAATCAGAAATACTTCCCAGGGGGAACTTGTGTCGTTTGTAATGTTTGCTTTGGTGAAGGTCCCAAAGATTGAATGCAAAAAGCATTTAAGAATATTGTTGAAATTAGATTAACAATGAGTGGTTTATCAGTACCACATAACCCTACCCCAGCCCCAGGAACCAGCTAATGAATAAGTCCTACAACTAGCAGCTAACGACCATAAACACGTTAGCTCCCCACACAAAATAATCCAAATACAAATTGCATAATGCAAATACATTATAGATGTATTTGCATCTATAATTTCCCTCCGGGGATGAATAAAGTACTCTATCTATCTACATGATGGGACTATATAGGATGGGCCATTGGAAACAGTTAACAACTGAAAAACTGTGGATTTAATGATTATTCAGGAGCATTTAGCAAATTATATTCAGATAAAAATGAAGGGACTCCAACGGAATAAAAATGTATATAGTATAAAGGTAAAAAGGAAAAAAAAGAATTATTCATATTATTATTTTTCACATACAGAAAAAACAAGGATCATATTCTCTAGCACTGATTGTTGTGGCGATGAACACTATGATTGGACATTTAGAAAACATTCTAATTTCTCTTTTAAGCTTTGATTTAAACATGAAGAAACCACTCATCAGTCCCTGAATTGAAATGCTAAGCCATTATCGTGACGCCTATCTCCCCTTCCTTGTTCTGTAGGGTTTAGATGGCCCTACTGGTGAAAAGGGGGCTACAGGGGCCCCTGGCCCTATTGGATTACCTGGCGCAATGGTATGCAATGGTGCCCCTTCAGGCTGCATCTTTATGGATGCAGTGTCAGGCCTGACAAAGGAGGAGGCACAGTCGAATACATTTGTATTCATCCCAAGTGCTGAACAATTGTTGTGTTTCTTAATTTTTCTTTTCTTAGTAGTTTGTCATTTGATTGACTATTTCATCAACTTTGTGTCCCTCTGTGTCTTTGCTACCTTCTGTGACAGGGTTCTAAAGGCGAACCTGGAGAAGGAGCCAGGTCGGAAATGGTAAGGGTTAGTCAGTGACACTTAGAGCACAATGTGTTGGAGCAATCTTTTCTAAACAGAAATCTTTTGCTTGTGTTTTGTGTGTCCGTCTTTAGATATATGGTCCTCCAGGGCCCCCAGGACCTCCAGGACCAGTTGGCCCAGCAGTGAGTCAAATATGTTGTAACCCCAAAGATTAAAGTCTGACACACTCACAAAGGTTTCTTTAGTTTTTGTGGCTGATCGGGCCTTAGTTCAGGTTGAAGTTGGGCTGAATTATTGTGTGTGGAGAAACACATCTCCAAATCTAAGGACCCATCAACTTTACCAACATGTAAATGGGCCAATAAATACATCACAGCCAAAAACCACAATACAAACTAACACAAGTATAACAACCAATACATGCTTTAAAGTTAACAGCAGTGTAGATTAAATCTATTTTATGACGTGGAGACGCTCAATGCTACGTGCTCAATATATAGAAGAGTGATACCGCCCCATTACACTCAGAAAAGGTATAATACATTTATATAAGTGGATTATGAGTGTGTATGTCACACACCACATGTGACACTTGGTGAAATTATACATTTTTAATAGTGCAGAGGAGGGAAGAATTTTCTGTGTCATTTGGGAGAATAAGACATTTTCAAAGATCCTGATTTGCTCCACTATAAATGCGTAATAACTTAGCAACATTTAATTGTTATATGTTATAATCTGTAAATAACATTTATACATTTTCATGTAACCCAGACAACCCGAGACAGTATAGACTGTGTCTCTTATCCCACTGTTTTTGTTCCATCTAGGGATCCCAAGGATTTTCGGGGCCTAAGGTGAGACATTACTTTCATTATTTTTTTTTTTTATTAAACTCGTCTGTGCTGTGCAATCTGCCTCACAGCCATTCCAAATATTAAAGTGTAACAATGATACCCTCAGGGAGAGCCAGGCATCGGCATCAGAGGAGAAAAGGGAGCAACAGGTCAGAAGGGCGACAAGGGAGACAGAGGCCATCTTGGACTCCCTGTAAGTTTTAGTTTTCATTTATAATTAGGTTTACATTTGTCCTTTGTAAGTGGTTAAATTCAATCTTGATCATTGATATTATTATCATATACTAACAGCCTTATACATGATGTTATTCAAATGATGTTTGGGCTGTTTTAAACATGGGTGCTAACAAACTGTTCAAAATGGTGTTGACTTGGGTTTCTAATCTTTATTCTTGGTTTACACTCACGTTCAAAAAACAGTTATCTCTTCTGCTTATATACTGTCACTCTCCTCTTTTATGTGACCCTCAAATATACACTAACTAGCTGACCCGGGGGGGGGGGCTCAACACATATCAATGAAATATACAGTGGCCAAGATTGTATTGCAGTTAAACAAAACCCATCCAATTATAGATAAGGATTTGGTAACAATAGAAGGTCTTTTGAGAGTTCCAGTACATTGTGCTCATTTTTTGAGTGCATGACATTTTACATATACTGGAAATAGCTTTTTTTATATTGCAGTACTCCAACTTTCAAGATGTAAATACTCCTTCCAGCACAGCCTTTTAGTTGAGCCCTAACATTGTTAACATTATGTCTGTTTCATTGTCTCCTTGAAGAGATTCTTCCCCTTCCAGCCCCTGACTTCGCCAGTGTACTCGTTTTCACAGGGTTCATATGTTCGCTTCGTGTTTGCAGTTATGGGAGTCATTTGTTCCTATAGCACCAAATGTGAATACATCTGCTGCTTAAGATATTCATCAATGAATGCAACCTCCCATTGACAGATACAATAAAAAAGTGGAAAGGGAAATACTGGAAGGTGACTTAGACAGATTTCTTCTTACCCTGTTCAACTGGTAGCAGTAGAAAAACAGGCGATGTGAGACTGAATAATGCAGGAATATAAAGAGGTGGTTATTATGTGTGTATTGCACTTTATTGCACTACACTGGGCTGTCAATGACTGTGTTGTGGACGGTTCATCTAAAATCTTATGTCATGACAATAAATGTGAAAACAGAGCACTATAACTTTTACTATGATTAACAACACAGTCGCAGACCTGATGTCACCACCAGCCGAGTCCAGCAAAAGAAGTTACTCACTATTACTGTCATTCACTTTACCTCCACCACTTCCATCACCCTTCATTTGTCATCATCTGAATGTGTTTTTGAAAGTCACTTGAGTCACAGCTTCACTCACCCACCTCCCCATCCCGTCCCCACCCCACCTCCCAACCCACCCCGTCCCACCTTCCCCCTCCACCATCTCTGCTCTAACTGTGTACAACGCTATACAGGGGGCTCATGGGTTAGACGGCAGACCGGGTCCAGTGGTGAGTGGCGCAAGTCCTGTCCCCTCACCCTTCTCCTTCTCTTCCTCCTCCGACCCCTCCCTCCCTCCACCTTGCTACAGCTTGCTTGATGTCTGCCATGTCTGCCTGTCATGTCCGCTTGCTTTCCTGCTTCCCATGCTTGTCCTGTCTCTTTTCTTTCCTATAGTAACTCTGTCAGGACAGAACTGTTCAGGGTTGGGTTCTGAGGATGCACTGGCTCTGAGAATGTAGCTTCTCATGTACACACCCTTATGTTGCCAAGGTTGCCACGGTTTATGTAAACTCATCCACTGACCACAACCCATAACACAGTCATTCAAAAATTGGTAAAGTCTAAATTTCAAATTAACCAAAGAGATGCATTCTATAGTCCATGAATGAGACACCCAATAATTATGTCATGTAGAAATGTGGCGCTATTACAGAAGTGGCCAAGCAACATTATTTTTATCTGTAAAAAATGTTTTGTTCAAAAATCTCCAAAAAGATTTGTGGGATCTTTACAATTTGTATTAATGGAAAAAGGATTATACTTTGTATTTAAGTTTTACACAAAATGAAGAGTATTGGTCTAAAAGACCACATACATAACAATTAATAGGCTTAAACGGTCAAATATAAAAAAGGAAGAACTAGACCTTGATGGACCATTTTGTGCAACATGTAGCTGCAGAATAAATT